TCTGTTGTTTGACTGGATATTGGAGACTTTTGACAGCCCTCTCAGAAAAGCAGGTGTAACTGTGCCTGGGCTGCTGGATGAGGGCCCCACAAACTGCTGAGGCATGAGGATTCTGCTCACATTCTGCAAAACCTCACATCCCAGGCTCCCTGAGCTGGGACACAGGTCCCTGAGGGGCTGGGCTGTCGGGGGGTCCCCTGGCATTCCCCTCTGAGTGAGATGCTTTAGGCTGCATCCCATGGACTGATGAGACTGCCCTGGATGCACATCATATAACTGGAAGTTAAGCCAAGCTGCTTAGTCCAGGTTCCTTTTTACGCCCAAAGGAGAGAGGAAGGCACCTTCACAGGCAGGAGATGAAGTGCCATTCCTTTCCTCCTTTTACTGTCACAGCAGGTGGCTGGAACAAGGGATCCCTCCTAATCTGAGACCTGCCTTTCTGCTCTGAATCCTGCCCCATATTCCCAGCCCTGCAGCAGAAGTCAGGGTTGCTGCAGTCCTGGCTCAACCCTCCCCCCCGAGCCTGGCTTGCTTGAGGTGGGGAGACACTGTCCTGATGGCAGAGCAGGAAATCCTGTCATCCTGGGATGAGCTGTGCTGCTATCTCACTCCCTGATCGTGGTTTCCAAGGTGTGACCTATGGGGCACTTCAAAACCCACACAGAGCTTAACCCGTAATCCTTCCAAGGGTTAAAGCAGCAGCTGGGGCTGATATTTCTATCTTACATCGGATTATCCTGAGTAATTTACTTGGACATGATGCTAAACGACTGTGCTAAAAGCAGAGAGAAGGTGTTTTGGGAATACAGCCTTCCTTGGCAGACTGAGCTGGTATGTGATCAGACAGGAATCATATCAGTAAATCCGAAGGCGAGTTCACCATCTGTTCCCGCCGGCCACGGAGCACATCTGACCCTGCAAACCTGCGCGGGGCTGGCACCGGGGCTGGGGTGGGCAGCTCCGTGCAGGGCTCTGCAGGTGCTCTGCAGGTCCAGACTGCCACCTCCAGGCACACAGAGCTCGCAGAGCTGATGGCACAGCCAAGCAGGGCCCGGGCAGCTGGAAAGAAAACGCTTCAGAGATGAGTTATGGGAAGTTTGGGGTAATGTTGGGTGTGAGCAGAAAGGAAAAGCTGTTTTACTAGGGAAGGACCAGCTCCCGGTGGTGCAAGCTGGAATGAAAGCCTCTTGGAAGGAGGAGTGAAAATCCTGAGGGCTCTTTTGACACAGGAAAGGGTTTGTTTGCTGGCATATGCGAGCCAGGCTGCCCATCATCTCTCCTGGGATGGAAGAGTTTGCCTCTTGACTGGCCCCTTCCCCCAGACAGGTTCCCTAAGTTCCTCTGCTGAACCGGTTCCTCCCTCAGCCATCAGGGTCCCTGTCCCCAGCCTGGCCAGACAGGACACCCCCGGGTACAGTTAGGCTCAGTTTTGGGAGCAGAGCAGTGCAGGAGCTCTGAAAACATGGCCCTGTGTACTGGAGAAGTGTCCCCAGTGATGGGCCTTTGACAGGACTGTGATTTCATGGCAATATCTTTAAAAATTACACACCATTGCCTCGTCTTCCTGGGGGCAGGGTGATGCCCTGGGCATGGTCCTCATGGTCTGTAGCTGCTGTGGGCCCCTACCCACACACCAGCATGGGTGGCTGGGTGCCACTGCCCCTGCCCAAACCTGTTGGGAGGAGGCAGGCACCATCACTGATCCTTCCACAGATCAAATGTTTGGGTATGAGAAATGTAAGAAAACCTCGTGCATTCTGCACAATGTGGATAATGCCCTTATCAACAACTGAGATAAGTTAGTGAAACATGTGCCCTGGGTGAAGGTGACAGGCCTCAGCACTTCCAATCTGCCCCACTGTGCCCAGTGCCTGCTGGACCACGAGCAAGGTGTGATGTGGTTGCTGTCCCTGTCTGCAGGACGTGGTAGGAGTCTGAACAGAACCTGCACAGGCATGAGGAGGGCTGGGACAAGGTGACCTTCAGAGATTCCTTCCAACCATGTTTATCACAGAATGGTTTAGACTGGAAGGGACCTTAAAGCTCAGCTCATTCCAACCCCCCTGCCATGGGCAGGGACACCTTCCACTAGTCCAGGTTGCTCCAAGTCCCGTCCAACCTGGCCTTGGACACTTCCAGGGATGGGGCAGCCACAGGGGGAAAGGAGAAGGGATGGGGCTGTAGGGATGGGAAATGTAAGCAGTGAAATGGGGTAGGTGAGGGGGAATGCAGAGCACAGGGCTTGTAAGTTCAACCCTCAGCACAGGGGAGACTGCCCAGGAGCAGCTTGTCCAGCCTGGAGGCTCATGCTTCTGGAAAGGGGCACCAGAGAGAAGGGTGGAATGGGAGACTGGGAGGAAGGAAGCTCTGGATGGGCTGGCAGGATAACCTGATAGAGAGACAGTGAAGGAAGGGCCTGGGAGGACCCAGCTGCACAGTGCCATGGGCAGCCAGGCTGGCCTTTCCCCATAGCCAGGGTGGGAAGCAGAGCTGGGCCTTGGAATGGTCACCCCCATCCTCAAAGGGTTACAAAGGCTGTGAGCACCTGAGCAGGCAGTGACATGTTTTGAACCAAACCCTAACTCTAACCTACCCTGTGCTGTGGTGCTCTTTTGGCTTTATATGGCAAGAAAAACATGCTCCTTTCCTGAAAATGTCCTGCAATTCATGTGCTGATTGCCAGGCTCATTCACTGGAGGGCAGCTGGAACACAGGCACACACCCACAGGAAGGATCTTGCAAGCCCACCTACATGATACTTCAGCTCAGACTTTAGGGGATGAGGGTAGAGGTTTTACTGGTTTGGTTGGGGCTTTTTTTCCTTCTTTTTAAAAAATTTCTGCATTTCCAGAATGAGGTAAGCCTGGGTCTGGGAAAACCTGCAAGAGACCCCCAAGGTTCAGAGGAGCCTTTGCATGCAAGATATCCTGTTCTTGCATCATCTCCTGCATGAGATGCTCCCACATAGCAATGACTTGGTGGGTTTGGAGAGTCTTCTCCCCACCCCAGCAAGCCTACAAACCACCCTCTTGTTGCTCACCTGTCCCTGTGGGTCCACCCCACGGATATTCCTGCTTCTCAGGGAAGCATCCTTCACATGCAGGAGGCTTTCTGGGGTGAGGAAGGTGGTGGTTGGCTGAGCATCCCAGTGCTGGCCCCCTTGAAGCAGCCAGGGTGCCCTCTATTTTCACTGCAAGGGGTGGTAGCTCTGCACAGACCAGGACAATAACAGGCAAGGAGACAGATTGTGGGAAGAAGGATTTTTATTGTCCAGGAGGAAGTGCACACTGAACATAAAAGGCAAACCCTGCCACGCCATCCCTGCAGCCGAGAGCAGCCCAGTGACCCCGTGCTGCAGGATCTGACTCATGAACCACCCGGAAAGGGGCCATCTGGCAGCTCCCAACCTCAGATCCTGCAGCCCACCTGGCCAGGGTTGCCCAGCAAACCCCCAAGGACACAGGTCTGTGGCACTGGTCTGACCTCTGCTCTCACCAGTGTGTCCACGACGGACTCACCCTCCAGGGAGTCCCAAATGTTGGGAAGGGAGGACACGGCCAGCACCCACCACCCTGTGCTGCAGGGCTTGGGCTGACCCTCTGTCACTCTGCTGTCACTCTGTCCAGCTGTGGGGAGGGCCTGGGACAGGGCTGAGTGCAGGACGCAGGGTGCAATAGAAATGAAACAACACATTGCATCTTGTCCCCCATTACAAAAAGCTTCCATAGGAAGAAGTAAAGTGCCCGCCATAGTCAGAGAATCCATCAGGACATAAGAGCCCTGCATGGAAAGCCAAGCCAGCCCTGGAAAGGCCAGTTTAGCCAGGATTATTGCAGCTGAGAAATGGCTTTAACCCGCCCCCCACCCCCCTTGTGCCCAAACAGCCCTGGGAGGAACAGCCAAGTCCTCCCACTACCTGCATTGGGTTTGCTGTGCCAGTGCTAAGGACAGGGTGCTGTGGGCCAGGCTGGATCCTGGCAGTGATTGTGGCTCCCCTCCAGCCCTTCTCCTCTCCAGCCCCCACTCCCCAGCCACATTCCCAGCAGATTTTTTTTTGCAGTGAGTTCAGCCCCACAACTGAGGCTTCTGTGCTTTGAGACCATTTTTGTGTACTTAACTTCCTATTTCAGTAAAACAGTTCCCAAACCCATAGAAAATTGTATTTACACCCCCAAAAAAAACTTTCCCAGCCCACAGCCTGCCCCTCTCCCCAGTTCATCTGCAGCTCTGCAGCCAGCTCAGCCTCTTGGACCAGCTCCACATGTCTTCAGAGGCATCAGGCAAGCTTGCCCAAAGAGATACTCCTGTGGGGAAGAGGAGGGATGTGGAGGACCCTCCACCCTCCCAGTCACTGGGGTCACCAGATGGGTAGTGGTGGAGATCCTCTGTGCCCAGAGCCCCTGTCCCCAGACACAGGACTCTGCAGCTGGAAATGCTGGCAGGACCCCTCTCTGCAGGTGACCTGGCAGAAGAGTTTGGCAGAAGTTTCTCTGTCTCTCCATCATGTAAGATGGGAGCACAGTCTCCCACTCCTCTCTGTTCTAGAGGAGGCCAGGATGGTTCTGCTGGTGGAGAAACCTGAGCTTGTGGCCCTAGAAAATGTGCCTGGGCTGCCCTGGTTGGCTGTGCTGGATCCAGGGAGAAGCTGTCCTGGTGGGTTGAAGAGGGAGAGAGTGTCCTGCTGCACCTTGGGGGCTTCTTGAGGCTCCAGGCAGCAGGCCCTGGACAACTCTCCTCCATGCTGGGAAGTCTCCTCTGAAGGCAGAGCCAGCTGTTCCTGGTAGTGCCACCTTGTACTCTGTCCCCTGCCCTCCTGTGCTTGGCAGAGATGGACTGTGAAGTCACCTGAAGGCTGGTGCAGTTCAGGATGTCCAGGCTGGAGTACACTGGGAGGTACTGGGAGGTACTGGGAGGCTGTGTGGCAGCCCGTGAAGCCCTGCTCAGTTCAGAGATCCAAGGAACACCCCAGCTGCCTGATCCAAAGGAGCTGTGTGCCATGGCAAGCCCAGTCCCACTCCTCCTGGTATTGCTGATGTGTCTGATCCCCCTCCACCTGCAGGTGTAGCTGGGACCATCCTGCTGTGTGAAGGGGTTTCCACCTGTCCTGAACAATCGTGTGGAGACCCCCAGTCCCACAGGGACATAGCAGAGAGGCATGACATGTCCCTGGCCCACTTGGAAGGCTGCTCCCTCCTTCAGGTGGGGGAAGGAGGCAGCAGGACCACCGAGGTATCTGGAATGCCATGTTTCCACCCATGCTGAAATCAGAGATGCTGGCAGGGTTCCAGCTCCTGGTCTGGTTCCCCTTTTCCCGCTCACTACCCTGCTGCCCCTTTGCCAGGGTAAGTGTTAAGGAATGCCCAATGTGTGTCTGCGGAGCTGGTGATCAGAGATGTCTCCTGGGGCCGTTTGTGTTCAGCAGCTGGGATCTCATGGCCTGGATGCTGCTCAAGATCTTCTTCTGGTGGCCCATCATGGTGATGCCCAGACTCCGAACATCCCTGGAGAACAAAGACACTGCCAGACAAAGACACCTGTGCCAGGCCCTATGGAGACAACTGCACCCCATGGACCAGTCCGGGGGGCCCAGGCCTGGCTCCTCTCCCCTTGCCCATCAGCACAAGGCTGGTCCTGCTGAGGGTCCACAGGCAATCTCCCAGACAGAGAGGTTGCCATTCCCTCGGGCACATCCTCCTGACAGGGCCACTGTGACAGCCCTGGGGGGAGCAGGAGCAGGAGGGGGATCACTCCTGACAGGCTGGTAGGTGACAAGATCGATGCTCTGAAATTGGATTCAGTTTTAGTGAGATGCCCTCAGATAACCCAGTCAGAAAGACGGATGAATGATGAGCCTTCCACACTCAAAAGCTTCCCTGATGTGCATGAGAAACAAGGATCACTATCAGCTCAATCCCACAGCAAAGGCCCTGTGTACAGCCCCCGATTGATGCACATGACAGCCCCTCTGTCTGTCTTCCCTTTCCTTGCCTCCTTCTCCACCTGCCACACCTCAACCAAGGTGTGCACTGGCACATCCTTCCTGAGCCACAGGGACCACAATCCAGCAGCTCCAAGCCTTTTGACAGGGAACAAGTCTCCTTAGAGGCAGAAAAGGTTGTTGCCAGCCCTGTTACTAATGGTAACAGCAAGGGATGGGGGATGTAAGACTAGGGTAGGAGCAGGTATAGTTGCCTTCTTTTCTGATACTACTTGGATGTTCCATCCTGGAAACTCCCCAGACAGGTGGGGGAGATCAAGCTCCTTACAGCAGGAGGAGGATAGTGAGACACATCTCCTGCCCTCCTTACTTAACCCAGCCTTGGTCATGTGTCAAAGACCTTCCACTTCCCCTGAGGCCTGGACAGTGCCTCCCTGCCTGGCTGCACCGTGCAGGGAGCCAGTCCTGTGCACAGCGGTCTCAAAAAGCTCCAAGGTAACTCCCAGCTCCATTTGTTTCCTAGTGATCCCAGAGAAGCTGTGTACTATGGCACAGCCACACTCTGGTCCAGAAATGCCTTTTGCAGGGGAATTGAAGGTGAGCAGCACAAGGAGTCAGCAACCTCCTGCCTGTCCCTGCTGTGACCAGGAGGTTGGGTTGAGCAACCTCCCGAAGCACCCAAATTACCTACGGGCCTCTGGTGACATTGGAGAGCCACAGGAGGTGACTTGGTGCTCACACCCTCTCAGTGCAACTCCCACACCTTCTCTCGGAGCTCAGCATGGCCTTGGACATTGTCCCAGGTCTCAACACCATTTCCACAGGGTGAGGCACCAGGGACCAACCAGAGCAAGCCAGCCAAGGCAGAACGGTCACTGTTTGGGGCTAGTGGGTCAGTGCAGGGTCACTCAAGCAGTGCTGTTTGCTCTCTGGCACTCACTCGATGTTCATGCGCATCACCATGCCCAGGGAGGAGTACCCGGCCATGGCAAAGTTGTCCCGGTAGTGCCCCAGCCGGATGGAGTCCAGCCAGTCCTCCACAGTCAAGCAGCTGGTCAGGTCGAGGAGACCCCTGTCCGAGTGTGTTTGGGTGAACCTGGGAGCAGGACAGAAGGGGTTAGACCAGGAGGTGTTGGTCTGAACTGTGAGGTCCAACTGAATGCACCTGAAGAGTCACAGAATCACTAAGACTGGAAAAGCCCTCTAAGATCATCGAGTCCAACCATTAATTCAGCACTGCCATCTTTACCACTAAACCATGGACCCAAGGGCCACATCCACACATCTTTTAAGTCCCTCCAGGGATGGTGACTCTACCACTGGCCCAGGCAGCCTGTGCCAGTGGCTGACCACCCTTTCCATGAAGGAATTCTCCGCAGTATCCAATATAAACCTCCCCTGACACAACCTGAGGCTGTTTCCTCTTGACCTGTCACTTGTTCCCCGGGAGAAGAGCCTGACTCCCACCTGGCTCCACTCTCCTGTCAAGGAGTTGGAGAAAGTGAGAAGGTCCCCCCTGAGCCTCCTTTCCTTCAGGCTGAGCCCCCCCAGCTCCCTCAGCCACTCCCCATATGACCGACTCTTCAGACCCCTTCCCAGCTCCCTTACCCTCCTCTTGACATGCTCCATCCCTTCAATATCTGTCTTGTCACAAGGGGCCCAAAACTGACCCTGGGATTTGAGGTGCCTCATTAGTGCCCAGCATGGGGGGACAGTCGCTGCCTTGGTCTCCTGGCCACACTATGGCTAGTACAAGCCAGGTGCCACTGGCCTTCTTGGCCAGCTGGGCACACACCTGTGACCCTGCAGGGCAGGACAGAGAGAGCCCTCGCAGGCTGCTAAGGGAAGAGTATGGGCACTGCTGCACATACTTGACCTCGGCACGGGGATGCCACAGTTGGGAGCAAGGCAGTGAAGTGCAGGAAGCTTCCCACTGCCCACCACGACCTGTGCCCGCGGGCCCTGTGCGTGTCTGTGGTCTCAAGGGAAGCCATTAGTGCTAGAGCAGAGCCGAAATATCCCTTATTCCCACAACACACCTGCTCTGCCCTCACCTGTTGACGGTGGCCGTGCACTTGAGGTTGTCAGGGTTGCGGATCAGCTTGTCCAGGATGCAGACGATCTGGGAGAAGCGCGGCCTCTCGCTGCGGTCCTTCTGCCAGCAGTCCAGCATGAGCTGATGCAGGGTGGTGGGGCAGCCCATGGGGGCAGGCAGGCGGTAGCCTTCCTCCACAGAGTTAATGACCTGCAAGGAAGCCACACAACCGCAGTGGAGCTGCACCCCCACCCCACTCCCAGCCTCCCCCCCCAGATGGGAAGATCCCTGACGCCTGAGCTGCTGGGGCCGGCACACAGGGAGCAGAGCCAAGCTTCACGCTCAATGAAAGGGAATTGTTCTGTGCAGGAAATCACTGTTATGGCAGCAGAGCTATTTAGAGGTCCAGTGGCCTAAAATATCGCAGCTTCCCTCCAGCAGACAAGCCACAAGGGCTGGACTCATATTTGGTTGTTCTACAGCCACTCTTCAGCAAGGCTGGAAGAAACCCTGTTTGAAGGAATTGTGTAGAGGAGGTAGTGTAAACCACTGCATTCGTGCCCTGCTGTCACCAAAGCCACTTTTAAAATAATAAAAACACTAGGAAAAGTGGGGGCTCTCAGGACTCCCAGAGCAGGGAGAAGCTTACAGTCCCCACAGGTAAAAAAAAAAAAAAAAAGGAGTCCTGTGGTTCTTCACAGTCAAAATACCTGTTTTATTGCCTCCTTTTGGAAATTTTGAGCCCAGGTTGTACTCAGGATTATAACTTAGTTTATAACAGATTTTATGCTACTCTTGAGGTGAGAGTGGCCTCACATAACTCAGACAAGCCCAAAACCTACAGCTGGGTGGTGCCAGCCTGAGGCTCTCAGCAGCCGCACCTGGGCACTGGAAGGGATGGACCCTCGGCACCGGGACTGGCAGGATCATGCAGTGGGACTGCAGTGACCCCAGGGAAGCCCTGACTCCTTCCAGGGACTGGGAAACTTGGCACAACATGTGCTGAATCTCTCCAGCCAGCATAAAAGGCTCGTCCAGAGCAGCAGGCAGGGCTGGGGACACCCACGGTGCACACAGCCAGGATGGCAGGAACCTCCCTGCTGCATTCAAACCAGGGGCTTGAGTCAGTGTCCCCAGGAAACGGGCAGGATTGGAAAGGGCCAGCACGTAGGTTTGGTCACTTGGGTCACCTTGCCAACAGCAGCCAGGAGCCACGGGGCTGCAAAGAGTGCGCGGTGCAGGGAGGGACAGCGCTCCGATGTCCCCACAGAGGGGACAAGCACGCTGTGCACAGCCCTGCAGGGACGTGAGGAGAGGCAAGAGCTGACCTTTGGGCCCCTTTTGCCCAGCCCCGTGCTGGGCTGGCCTGGGGCAGGGCCGGAGGAGGGGCAGGCTGGTCCCCGCGCCGCCCTGCGCCCACTCACGTCCCGGTTGGTCATGTTCCAGTAGGGCCGCTCGCCATAGGCCAGCACCTCCCACATGACGATGCCGTAGCTCCACACGTCGCTGGCCGAGGAGAACTTGCGGTACGCGATTGCCTCCGGAGCCGTCCAGCGGATGGGGATCTTCCCCCCCTGGAAAACCAAGCAACGGTGGAGGCTCAGAGCAGGCAGCGCTCAGCATCCCAACCTCTGCACCCAGGACAAGCATCCCAACCTCTGCACCACCAGGGGTGGTGTCTTCTGGAAAGGACTGAGAAGGACAACCCATACGAGAGAAGCCTAGAAGTGTAAGTGAAGGATGACTTCAAGGTGTTTCCAGCAGAGCAAGGAGAACACTGTACCTATTTTACAAAGTCTTCCTGCGCAATTCTGTCCCTCGGTGCTCAAGGTATAGGAATTCAAAGTGAGGAAGTGGACCCCAGGGCTACCGGAACGTGCAAGCATGGAGCTGACGTTGGGCGTGGGCAGAGAGCCTGACTTGAGCAGAGAAGGAAAGGGATGGAATGTGCTCCCTGTTCCTCCTTGCTTTGGCAGGCAAGCACTGAAGAGGATGGCGTGTTGAGTTGAAGGACGATGCTGACAAAAATCAGCAATATATGGACTAAGAATACACTTAAGCTGAAAATGTGGTTACCAGCCACCTGAAGAGGGAAGTTGTGGAGTAGGGAACATTGGGTGGTTCCCAGAGCATGTGGGGCAGGAATGGCATGTCATCCACCAGAGGTGTGCCAGGGGAGCACACTAATTCTTTTCATGGCCAAAAGAAGAGTAAAAAGAGCTCTTTCTATTTAATGTAATTTATGTATTTCATGAAAATGTATTTGATTTTGCTTCCGTTGACCTCCCATGGAGGAGCACATCTAGCTCCAGAGCTGTCGGGTTGGTCAGAAAAATCTCAAAATGGCTTCACAGACACAAGTGTCCTACATAAAACAAAATCACAGGTTGCAAAACCAATTCCCACTTTTCCCACATCCATGAATGAGGCAGAGCCACATGTTAAAACTAGTGTGTGGCCACAATACTGAAGAGTAGACCAGGACATTAACCTATGGACCAATGGCTCTAGGATAGCTGAGGAGAGGATGGAGCTGCACAGTCTTGGGAAGGACTCCAACAGGGACATGTAGGCCACACGTGCCCATAGGAGCAGCTGGCCAAGGATGTTTATCAACTCCCTGCCCTCACATCCTGCTTCTCTGTTCACTGCACACTCATTCTGGGATGTCCCTCTGTGAAGGACAATGCATTAAGGCTCCGAAGCTCTTTGAGTTCGAGCTGTTGGTCCCAAACGCCAGCACAGAGGTGACATCGCCATTTCTGCCCCACCTATTTTGACCTGAGAGTCCCTAACTTTTCCATCTGTCAGGGCAATAACAGCCAGCAAGGACCGACACAGGGAGCCACCCACCGTGGTGGTGTAGGCAGCATCGGGGTCGTCCTCCAGGATGCGGGAGAGGCCAAAGTCAGACACTTTGCAGACCAGGTTGCTGTTGACCAGGATGTTTCGGGCAGCCAGGTCCCGGTGCACGTAGCCCAGGTCCGACAGGTACCTCATGCCCGCTCCGATGCCACGCAACATCCCCACCAGCTGGATGATGGTGAACTGCCCGTCGTGTTTCTGGAAAGGAAAAAACCAAACAGTTTCATTTGTGGTTTTCACTGGCACCCTGTTGCTGCTGCTGTCATTAAACCATCCCCCCCAGCGCCTCTCACCTTTGGCTTAGTACCTCCTCTGAGCCCAGTACCTCCCACCTGTCCCCTGCCCATTTCCTGCCCTCTCAGTGCCTCTGACATGTGCTCAGGCAGTTGTCTCTGCCTTTCCAGTGCCACTCCAGGGAGCCAGACATGATGCCTGGAGCCTGTGTCTGCTGGAGAGGTGAGAGCCCAGCACACACAGCTCTCCCACGGGGCTTGCAGTGGCTGCGAGGCTGAGGACAAGAAACCAACCTTTCCTCCAGCCGCTCAGCCCAGGGGGATGTGCAATGAATAAAAACACAACCTTGCTCCTTACCCTGAGGAAGGTGTCTAGCGAGCCGTTCTCCATGTATTCAGTAACAATCATTACCAATTTGCCTGCAGAAGACAAGGGAGGTCAAGTTAGCAGAGAAGTCACCTTCCTCTGGGAAGCCAAGTGACAAGTTTTTACTGGGAGAGATGAGGCCTGTGGGTCTCATGCAGCCCCTCAGAGTGGTCTCACCCCTGCATTTGGGCACCACTGGCAAAACAGTGGGGATGTGGCAGTAACCCAGTCAGGTACCCCTTCCTTCCAGGTGCTACTGATGTGGATAGGTCAGCTTTGTTATCCTGCTGAAATTTGCATGCCATTAGCATAACGCTTTGCATTAGAATGTGTCTTTTTGAAGGAGGACTTTCAAATTATGATTCAATACAGGCAGCCTTTAAAATAAATGCTATTGAGTAGGACATCTCCCAAACCAATAACCCTGACCTGGAGCACACTGAGGAGCAAGGTGTGGAACCACCACTGGGAAGTTTGTCCTGTAAGAGATGGCACAGGGGTGGGGTGGAGGGCACCTCAGGTGAATGGATATCTGAAAAGCCACTGGGGCAGCTGAGGGATGGAGTGTGCCTAAAGTGAGCCCTGACCCACGTCCCTCAGGTTGCCCACAGGGAGATACATCCCAGCTCTGCCCCACCATCCCTTCCAGCCACATACTCCTGGTCACCACCCCTTCCAGGTGGATGACGTTGGGGTGGTCGAACTGTGCCATGATGCTGGCCTCGCTCAGGAAGTCCCGCCTCTGCTTCTCCGTGTAGCCTGCCTTTAGTGCCTTGATGGCCACGGGAATCTCCCTCTTCCCTGGCAGCTTCAGGCGGCCATAGCACACCTCTCCAGACTCCCCTGCAAGACAAGGCAAGGTGAAGGCACGGAGAGCTCCTCAGCTTCTCGCACTCACTTACCAACACCATGAATCACCCAGTCTACCAGCACGCTCACAGCCCCTCTGGATTTCACTGTGGATTTCAATCCCCTCCAACCCCTCCAGGATTCAGTCCTCTGAAAGAACTGCCCAGTGCTGGCAGGGTGGGAACATCAGAAATCACCTCTGTCTGCTGCCTTTTCCTAAAGGCAGTGGGCCAAGAGCAGTGACTACAGTAGCACTTGCTTTACTGCTTTTAATGAACAAACGTGGGAGTCTCAGAGCAGCAAGGATGACCCCCATCCAGGCTTCCTCATGCTGCTCTGGGTTAAGTCCTTGGGGTGCTGCTAGTGAAGCTCCATCTCCATCTCTGCCCCATGCTTCCCTGCAAGCCCTGTTTCTATGCAAAACTCCCTTTTGTGCTGAAAATTCACCATTTCACTTACAGTTTCATTGGCATCTTGTCACCCCAGGTTTCAAAGCAGGGTGGCACTTTGGAGCACCCACATGGGACAGGCTGGACCATCTGCTGTGTCGGCCTGGGCCGTCGGTGCCACACCTGCTGACAAGCAGCCCCCTGGCACCAGGCTGCTTCCAGAGGGTTCATTTCATGCACCAAAACCCCCACTCTATCCATGGTTTTGGTATCACGAGGATGAGGAGCAGATGAAGCCCCCTAGCTGAGCACTGCTGTGGTCCCAGCAGGCCATGGACAGGGCACAACCTCAGATCATGAGTTTCCCTGGGCAGACGTGATGCAAAGAGGCAGCTGGGCCCCGGGACTCACCAGACCCAATGACCTTCTCGATCTTGATCCGGGAGGCCTCTATTTCACGGGTGAACTCATGCACGGCCTGGCAGGGGTCTTCGTAGGCGTGGGGATCCACATAGAACTTGGACTCAGGGAACTTCACTGCCAGGTTTCAAATGGGAGAGAGGAGAACAGCTCTCTCAGGCAGCCCCACGGGAAGGAGGGGCACCCAGCAGCCGGGTAGATGATGGACAGGGGCAGGATTTCAAGGGTCAACAGGCTGAGGGGTCACAGGGGTGCAGCCCAAGGAATCCTAAGTCACTCTTTGGCATAGCAGTCTCCTCAGAGCAGCCCAGGACCTGGCTTCCCAAGTGTTCTCCGTGTGATTGTCCCTCTCCATCACCCCCACCCGCATCTCTGCTGTCTGGGATGATCCTGCTGCAGTCTCATGGCACATTGTTTAACCCTTCAACCCCATTACCAGCCCCTGAAATCAGAGCCCCTCTCAGTTCTCCTAAGACATGTTCACAGAAGCAGGTAGGAGTCAGAACCCTGGAAACCACAGCAATATCAGGGGGTAACAGCCCACCTCTGTGACCACCCACAGGGTTGGAGTTCTTCACAAGGAGAGTCCTACCTTGCCCATTCTGATAATGCATCTTCTCCTCATCAGAGTCCTGGAAAGCCTTGCTGTACCCGCAGTGCCTGCCACGGGGGGACAAGGGTCAGAAGAGATGCCCCTGTCCCTCACTCCCACAAGCATCCCAAAGGCAGGGTGAAAGGCAGTGCATGCCAGGGCTGTGGGCAGCACAGGAGGAGCTGCATCCCTGTGTCTTGCTGGACTGACACTTTGGCCAGGATTGAGGTACTTTCCAGGTGCTCTCCAAGGCTTGGCAGTGCTTAAAGCTGCAGTCCTTTTGGGCTGTATGCCTGGGCTCCACATGCCTGGCTCAGCCATGTAGCACAGAATTCCTTAGATCAGTCTGATGTCAAAAAGCTCTCTCCCCTCCTGACCTACCTCCAGCCCATCCAGTCAGCCCTTGTACTGGTAGTAGTACTGGTACTGGTATTGTTATTGCTAGTGCCACTGATAATCCATATATTATATATATTACAGTGTATATATACTAATTTATTGCTATTCTACCTGCTGGCATTAGAGGAAGATCTGGAAACTGGCTCTGCCACAGGGAAAGCGGTGACCCCTAAACGAAATCTCTTGGCTGCTTATTAACCCCTGACCTGTGGATGCTCTGCATAAACTGAAAGGAGAAAAGTTGTGCCCAAGTTCTCCCATCCCTCCTGTCCCTCTCTGGCCTCCAGAAAACTTTTACCTCTTCTTGCAGATCAGGACCACCAGCAAGGCGACGAGGCCAGTGATGAGCGTCAGGCAGATCCAGACAATCGTCATCGTGTCGTAGCGGAGGGACACTGGGAGAAGCAGGGTAGGAAGGAGGTGAGCTGGGGTAGGGAATGCTCTGCTGAGCTCAGAAAGGTACCTACCACAATGGGGTCATGGTCTTCAAAGATAAAACATTATCCCTATCCATTCCCAGCTTTCGGTCTCTCTCAGCATATGGGGACACATGGGGAAACTAAGTAGAGATCTAAGAAAGCCATGGTGACACAGCAAATCAGCACAGAGAGGAGCTTGATGCCCCAGGACCTTTCCAGGTTTTCCCTGCCCTAACTGCTATGTCCTTCCTCCCTCTTCTTTCTAGTGTATAAGCACAGAATCACAGAATCCTTGAGTTTGGAAAAGACCTCTGAGATCACCGAGACCAACCATTAACCCAGCACTGTCAAGCCCATCACTAAACCTTGTCCCCAAGTGCCACATCCACATGCCTTTTAAACACTTCCAAGGCATGGTGACTCCACCAGTGCCCTGGGCAGTCTGTTCCAATGGCTGACCACCCTTTCAGTGAAGAAATGTTTCCTAATATACAATCTAAACCTCCCCTGCTGCAACTTGACACTGTTTCCTCTTGTCCTAGGTATCTGAGGAGGCAAACCTCAAGCAATCCCTTCAGGCTGGGAGACGTGCCTCCAGGCTCCCTGCTTGTGTGACAGAGGAACAACGGCCATGGAGAAGGGCATCACCATCCTCCATGCCCCCTGCCCCACACTTCCCACACGCCAAAACTGCGCACACTCACCTGGCTTCCCTGTTTCCACCTCCACAGTCTGACTGAACCTCCCGCAGCCGGCCGAGGTGCGAGCCCGAACCTGGAAGATGTAGCGGGTTGCAGGCTTGAGCCCAGAGATGGTGGCAGTGGTGCTCTTGGATTTCAGAGTCGAATAGCTCTGCATTTCCTTGTCCTGGGGGGGGGAAAAAAAGCAACGCCAAAAACCTCACTGCATCAGCACAGCGACCACAAAGCCTTCCAAAGAAGCCTCTTGTGCGAGGCTGGCTGGTGGCAGGGACTGGTCTGCAGCAGCAGGCTCAGCGTTACCTTCTCGTAGTACTTGATCTCATACTCCAGGATGATGCCATTGGGCTGGTCTGGCTCTTGCCACAGCAAGGTGACACTGTTCTGGCCCGTGCTCTCCTGATGCACCACCACCACCTGCGACGGGGCTGGGGATGCAGACACAGCGTGTTAGGGGTCTGCTGAGGGGGTACTGTGGAGGGGTGGGACAGAAGGAGACAGCAGCAGGGAAGGGTGGAACTGGAGCCCCAGGCAGGACCCCTGGTTTAAACCAGGTGTCTGGTTTAATTAAAGCCACGTGGAGACAAGTGCTGTGATGGGAGCTGAAAACAGGCTTTTCCTTGCTTCAGCTGCCTCGATCTCTTTCCCATGGAGTAAGCAGCTCTGAGGAGATGAGAGGAGGGCACTGTCCCAGCACAGGCAGGAGGGGACACTGGTGCTTTATTGTGATCTGAAGGCAGAAAGGAGAAGGGGCAGTGGGGTTGGAGATCATGGAGGTCTCTACCAGGACCCTGACCCCTCTTGTCCCACATGGGGTAACAGGAGAGGGGCGGGGAAGAGAGAATGGGGAGATGATAAATGCCCAGAGGGCATGATAATGACTACAGGGTCTAAGCATGAGCCTAAAGGTGTCCTGGGTGTGCTTTTCTGCCCTGAGACACTTGTCACCTTCCCAGGCCTGAGCTGGGAGCTTGTGAATCAGTTCTTGAACCTGCCATGCCCCAACTGGAGCTGTCACAGCTGGAGGAACCAACTCACCAGCCTCTTTTCCCACTGGAAAACTTCCCACTGGAAGTTGCCCAGAGAATGCAGTGGCTGCTGTGATGGCCAGGTGCAGCCATTGGGTCCAACTCACTGGAAGGGTTGAGGCACCTCTCGTGTGCTGAACTGATGGGGGAAAATGGGATGTGGCAGCTCTAGGGAAGACAGAACTGTCGTGGCTGTGGCTGCAGTACAGGGGTGTCATTGGAGCAGCACAGAGACTAAAAGAGGCCACAGGGGCTGCAGCAGCAGTGGAGTACCCAGGGACTGAAAAGCAGCAGTTTTAGCTCAGTTCTGCCTCCTCTGAGAAGCAGAAAACGCTGTTGGTGCACAGTACCCTGGGCAGATGGGACAGGGTGGGATGGTGGGAATTAGTTAAACTCCATGGGCACATGCAATGCCGTTGCTCCAAACAGGGGCATCTGTGCTGGATCTGCCTCAGCCTTGCTCAGCCATCAGGGCTGGAGGATAAGGGTGACCAGCACCCAGCATGGGCAGCACCCCCGTGCAGTGCCTCAGGGGTTCCTCAGCCACCCTGGAACACAGGGGTGCTCTGCCATGGGCAGCAGCTGGAGCACTGCCCAGCACAGCAGACAAACTACCAAATTCCCAATGCTGCTGGTTTCACATCACCTGCAGCACTTTGCAGCAGGGAGGTTGAAATGGGAATATTCAGCACTTCCTGACAGCATCTCCCTCGGAGGCATCAGGCTGAGGCAGCTCATCACCACTTGGAGGGATTGGATCAAGCAGCAGGACTGAGCCAATTCCACGTGCTGCACAAGTGCCACAGGCTGGCATTAGTGACAAAAGGCCCTGTTCTCATCCCAGTCATGAGCTATTGCAGTGAGGCTCCCCAAGTTTCTCCCACTGACACCCCTGCCATGAGAGCAGAAGGGGTTCAGCATCACAGGAAGTTCTTGTGGGCTCATTTCAAACTGGGAGGATTAACAAGGAATGTCACTCCCTGCCCTGATCTCTCTGCCCACAATGTGCTCCATGGAAAGGGGCTCTGGGAGATGCCCAGGTGACCCTGGAGCAAAGTCCTGTCCCACCTGGGCTAGAGCACTGCTCAGAGGAATTTTCTGGGGAAATAGCGTTTTGCAGCAGGGGATTTGCAGAGGTGAGATATGCATAGGAGATACTTTTCTAAGCAAACATTGCTGTCACCTGCCAGGGCCTGGCATTGGTGTGAGCTAAGAGCAGAGCACGAACTGCTGCCCAGCCCTTTGGAAAGGGACAGAAGGTTGGAGGAACAGCCTTAAAGATTCATGCTCCACTTAGTGTTCCTGTCAACAAAAAAGTGTTCTCTGTGCCCCTGTCTCCTGCAGAAAAGGAGCCTCCAACAGCAGCTGGAAGGGGAGGAGGAAGAAAAAGGACACCATGAACCAGAGAAGGGTAAGAGGTGCCTCGGGCAGCAGCTTGTCCCACCTCAGCTCCCTGAACCCACCTCCAGCAGCAGAGAGGACAGGGGTCACATCTCCGGGGGGTTCCAAGCCCATCACCAAACCAGCCCTTTGCTGTTAGAGCAGGTTCTGGCCCATGCAGATACTGGAGCGACATCAGAGCAACATCAGCATGACCCACACAGGCAAAGGCTGGAGATGGGGGGTGTCTGCTCCTCCTACCTGCCTGGTTTGTCGTGATGTTGGCGACTGCGGCTCTCCTGGACTCCAGGCTGAGGTCGGAGACGCCGTTCACGGCCTCCACCCAGAAGGAGTAGTTGGTGTGTGCCAGGAGGTTGGTGACAGTCAGTGCTCCCTGCACCAGGCTCATCTGCTGGGGCACGAAGCGGATGCCGCTGCCACAGGCCTCGCACGGCCCCGTGTCCCCCGCGCAGCGCCGGCACAGCACGTTGTACACCACGTCGGCACGGCCCCCCTTGTCCAGGGGGGGACCCCACTCCAGGGTCACCGAGGTGCCGTTCACGCTGGAGATCAGGTTCACGGGAGCAGAGGGAGGGCCTGGGAGAGAAGAGGAGGTTCAGGCAGAGCAGGGGGTGCTGGGGTGTTGGGAATGGTGGAACGTGGGACCAACGGAGAGATGCGCCCTGGGCATTTTGGGTTTGTGCCTGAGCGTACAAACGGTGCTGCAGGGAACACAGAACTGCCCAGGGAGAGGAATGCTCCGAACACAAGACAGCAAAGACACAGACAGGGCTAAGGGTGAAGTGCCATGGTTCAGGATGCCAAATGCCAGACAGCAAGAGAGGATGTTTGTTCTGGGGGAAGCAGGAAGCAGCGGTGATGTATGAAGCTTTTGGAGGAAGAGCCAAGGTGTTGATGAACTGGATATGCTCATCTAAAGGGAAGGGAAAACTCACATTTCCTGGAAAGATTAATAAACTTGGGTGGATATCCCCTAGGGAAACACAAGTTGGATGTTGTTGACCTGTCTTTCACCCTGACCTCAGCCATCAGCCTCATGCCTTCCTGTCCTTCTGGACCAACTAAAGAAAGGAGGACTCCTCCTGGGATGTCCTTGTCCACTTTTAATAGCACTGGGTCCCTCAAAGCAGCCAACTGCAAAGAGCTAAGCTAAGGCCTTAAAACAAGCCCTAGTGCCACTGTACACCCACAGAGAAGGAGAGCACAGTAACACTTGAGCTGACCCAGGGGCTGCTCAGGGGTGTGAGACCATTCAGTGCACTTCTGCAAAGGAAAGCTGCAAAGGTTGGAGCTGGAGGGGGAGGAGGGGGTAGGGGTGTGTTGGTCTCTTCTCCCAGGGAACAAGTGGTAGGACCAGAGGAAACAGCCTCAAGTTGTGCCAGGGGTGGGTTAGATTGGGTATTAGAGAAAATTTCTTCCCAGAGAGGGTGGTCAGACATTGGAACAGACTATGCAGGGCAGTGGTGAAGCCATGATCCCTGGAAGCATTCAGAAAACTTGTGGATATGGCACTTGGGGACATGGTTTAGTGGTGAACGTGGTGGTGGTGCTGGGCTGATGGATGGACCTGATTTTAGAGGCTTCTCCAATCTTAATGATTCTATGATTCTAAGGCTCTGGCCAGGGATGTTGGGAGAGCAGGATGACACAGGATGAGGATGAGGACGACACAGAGGCAGTGAGGAAGCTCCTGCCTGAACAGAGACTTGGAGTTGTAAGGCTCTAGTTGTAAGGCTCTAGAGCTCCTTGGGCAGCGTGCACAGGGGCAGGAGTGAACCGGGCTCAGCCAGGGAGCAGCTGTTGTGCCCCAGGACGTGCCGCCTGCCCCTCTGCAGCGTTGGTGGCCACCAGGGGCAGGGGGTCCTCGGGGGTACTCACGTGTGCAGGCGGCCGAGGGCGGGTCCTGCACCGCCCGGTAGAAGCTGCTGTCGCAGCGGCACACACGGGCTGCCCGGCTCTCCGAGTGGCTGTGCAAGGGGCACTTGGCACACAGCTGGTCCCCAGGGGCCGACTTGTAAAATCCCAGCTGGCAGGCTGCAGGGGGAAGGGCAGAGGTTCAGAGGGATGCGCCTGGATGAGGGGATCCCACCAGCACAAAGCTGGACCGTGCTCTCAACCTGGTGCGTGGGAAACCAGCCCTTCTCCCCAAGCGCCTGCCTGAGTCCCCTCCTGCTGTCCAGCTGCACACTGGGCTCTGTGAAAACTTTTGGCCCCCAGACTGCACCTGCTGCCATCCTGGCACCCGTTCCCCACTGCTCCACAAGCAAACTTGGGTGTCTCTGCCGCTCCTGAGCTGCCTGCAAAGCTCCGGGTGTTTCCTTTGTGCCTGTTGTCCAAAGCTCTCCCCGGTGCAGCCACTGTCTGGCCCAAGGACAGGGAGCCCACTGCCCACTCTCTGCGGAGGGACAGTGAGGACGAACGAGACAGCCTTGAAAAAAATGAGGTTTTTTTTTTTCCTCCGACAACCCAACCTGCCTGCAGTCTCTCTGCCGCCTCCTGATGCAGGAGCTCGTCCCACGCCGAGGCTCTGCTCCATCCTACCCCCCCTTTCCCAGCAGCCCCTCGGGTGGATCATTTGTCACACAAACAAACAGCTCGTCTCTCGTTAGGAAAATCGATTCGTTCAAGAGTGACATGTGGCATGTCAGGTATCTGGGGGCGGAAGGATCTGCCCTCTCTTGCCGATTTAGATTCCAAATAAGGAAAAGCAGGCTCTGTCTGGGTCCCAGTACTCATGAAGTACTTTTAGGACCAGTTACAATGATTCAAGGATTATTCCTGGCTCTGACTCATCTCTACTTTCCCCACTGAGGTAGTAATATCTTCATTTTCCTGTCTTTACATCCAGTGTCCAGATCTGCATACTCAATTTTTGCTTCCAAGCATCTAGAAGGGTTTTGTTTGTGATCCACCTCCCCAGGGAGGCTGGGTCCCTCCATGCTGTTTGTTTTGTTTCTTGCTGATTCATTTTCTTTTTAATAACACTCCTTTCCTTGCCACAGACCTCCCTGGACCAGCATATTCCACCCATCACACACTGCACAGTAATACAGGAGCCTTTTTATAACTGAGCTACTTTAGCAATGGCAGCTGAAGGCAGTGCTCCAGCCACACACGTCCCTGGTGTGGGCACCTCTTGCTGGTCCTTCTTCAGACTCTGTCACCAGTTTCTGTGGCACTTTGGCACCAAGTGCTCCTTTAACAGCAGGGGAGTGATACCACCAGTGCTGCAAGTGCCAGGGGTGGTATTGCAGGTTGGTGTCACACCCTGCTACAGCACAGGCCAGCAGTTCCAGAGTTTGCTCCTGAACTCCTGCTCTTCCTCTCCCCAAAGGCCATCAGAGCAAGGAGCAGAAGTACCTGAACTTCAGGATGCAAGGGAAGGCAGTTGTGAAATTGCAGCAGCTTGGGGGTGGATTTGTTCCCCAGGTGTTTTCTCGGCACCTTTTCACCTCCTCAAGGGCATCAGAAGAGGACAGAACACAGGGGATGCAGATCTGGGGAGAGGTTTGCTGTCCCTTGCCAGTCACACCAAGGACAGCCCAGGACATTTGCCAGGCTCCTGTGCTGACTGGTCATGCCACATGCCAAGAGATTCAGGGACTCTCTACCCTTGCCAAGAGTCCTCTGATGCTGCATCACCCTCTGGTTTGCAGCCCTTTGGTTTTGGGTATAAGGATGATACCACATGCCAAGAGATTCAGGGACTCTCTACCCTTGCCAAGAGTCCTCTGATGCCACATCACCCTCTGGTTTGCAGCCCTTTGGTTTTGGGTATAAGACTGAGATGAGTGCTGATACACCCTGTTCTCAGGTGGTGACAAATTTGGGAGGTAGCCAGCTGGTGGAAAACAAAACAAAACAAAACAAAAAACTCTGTGAATAAAATAAATCCATAAGAAAGAAAATTTCCCAGTTTTTTCATGTGGGAAAGGATGAAGACATAGAATGAGCACAGATGGGAGCTGAGCAGTGGGACATTTGCAGCTGGTTTTGGGCAGATGCAGGTCAGGAACTGCTGCCCTCAACTTGTGTGAATCTCCCTTGGACCTGCAAACCACCACCATCTCTAACCATGCAGCAACCAGCAACCAGGGACTTGTGATTCCAGAGGAACTGGAGTGGTTCCCTTCCACCGATATTTAACTAAGGGCAGAGAAATCAGTGCTGCCTCGGGTATGGAGACACAGGCAGCAGGAAGGATGGGAACACGAAGTGCAGCAGATTTGCACGGAGCAATTGTAATCACTTAGCATTTAATGCTGTAAAAAACCCATTAATTACCTGTAGCAATGAGTCACAATTATTTTAGATGCACTCAAGGGGAAAATTATACTAAATGACAAATTGCAGGTGATTTTGTGTGCCAGGGCAGAGCCATCTCCTGGCACAGGGAGAGCATGAGCACACAAGGAGGACTGGAGAGCACCTGGGGCTGGGGCAGGCACTGCTCAGGCAGGTCGTGCACCTCTGGGTATCTCAGTGCTTTAGAGGGAAGCAGAACACATGTGCAAAGCCTCTCACAGGAACAGGAGAGGGCACTAGCTCGAACCTGCACAAGATACAAAATCCCTACAGTACAGGATGCCAGGCATGTCCTGCTCTGGGTTGAGCTCTCTCATGCCAGGCCAGTGACACATGGAGGACCAGGACCTCCCGGGTTAGCTCTGGGAAGAGCAAACAGCAGAGAAGTGGCCAGCAGGAACAATTCAATCAATGCACCAGGTATAAAATCCACTGGTCTCCATAGCCATGGTTGTGGCAGCACACACAGAAGCCTCTCAAATCTGAAGCCTCCCACCACTGAGGTTGTGCTGCTGTCTTCACTGCAGCCAACTACTGCCACCTGACAGAAGTGCCCTCCCAGGAGCCCTGCAGAAGGTGGGGTTTTCTTTTTTTCCCATTATTTTATTCAATTGATACCCTTGCTCTGTATCTGAGGATCTTAGGTCCTGTCTCTTTGTGAACTACCAGAAGTCCTGCTGCTGGTGTCCTCCTGTCCCCAGTGCCATTCCCCTGTAATGCCCAGCCCAGGATGCCTGGCCCTGCACTTTCATCTCATGGTGTGGTTTTGCAGTGCAAGTGGAACAGGAGCAGCCACTCAGCTCAAGACTTGCACACCTAACTGGGCTTGCAGCCTGTGCAGACCTGGCTGGTCCCAGTATCACCAGCAAAGCCTACAAATCCCAACACTAAACCCGTGCTTGGCAGAGCACATCTCTAGCCCTGTATTGCACAGGTGAGTCCCCAGTGCTCAACCCCAAACCTGTTTGGTTCCATTCCATGGGGGTTCCACTGATCCCCACACCCTGCACAGCACATCTTGCCTGTTTTCCCTGCCCACCAGCCTGACTCTCACATGTCGTGTGCCCAAGGGAGCAGCAGGTTTGTCTCAGGAGCAGTGAGCGTGGGGAGGGATCTGCTCACCATCTGGAGTTCGGTCCATTTGTTTCCCTCCTTCTCCATCCTCTGGGGACAGGACAACATCTGCTAATAAGCTGGCAGAGCTCGGGAGATGATGGATGGACCTGTCAAGGATATGCTGGCTGGGAACAAGCTGCTCTTCTCACTCTGAAGTGGCTGTCTGGGTCTAGTGCTCTGCAGGTGGACCTGATGGGACCACCACGGGCTGCTTTGGTGGGGCTGCAAATGCAAGCATTGACCCCGTGTCACTCCCTTTCAGCTTCACCCTCAGCCTGGGAGGTTTGGGCATGGCTGAGAGGGTGCCATGGGGCAGCTCTGTGACCCCAGTGCTGCCAATTGCTCCCTTTCCTGACCTTTCAACAGATCTGGGCATCTGCAAGCACCAGAAGAGCAGTCATATACTTCCCTTTGAGAGATAGAGATGGAAATAGAGGTGTCACAGCCACTGTGACAGCCAGAGACAGGCACCAGTCCCAGAGCCCTCCAGGCTGCAGAAGCCAGCACAGAAAATCCAGCTCCTTTCAATCCAGTTTTCAGCATGATGCCTCCAATCTCAACTCCCACATGACACAGACACTGAAACAGGAGCAGGTTATTCTCAGTCATGTCCTAAAAAGAAGCATCTACCTCATTGCCCAAAATCTTGTGCTTTTACCAGGCTGTGCTCCCCTTTCCCTGCAATTTCAGGTCAGCCCAGGCTCTGGCCTGGTCAGTGGTCTGGAGGGGGTTTTGGGGCCTGGCTGGCCGATGCTTTCAAGTAAACTCCTGGTCCATAGATCATGGATTGCCCTACAGCCCTGCTGATGCCCACACATCCTCTGTGTGCTCTTGCCCCTGCACCCCCTGATCACTGCCTTATCTCTGAGTGCCACGTGAGCCCGACCACAACTCAGCTCCCACCTTGCAGTCCCTTTGCTGCAACCCTTCCCGCCCCCAGTAACCCATCACACCACTACACACACCTCAACTTGTCTCTGTCACCCCAGACTCCACCTCCCATCCCTGCTGCTTGGCCCTTCTTCCCACAATTAACCCTTTGCACCCCTGAGTGTTTCAGGGGCACTCTTTTACCCATACTTTGCAAAGCCAGCAGAACCCTGTGCATGAGGCTGCCAGCAAATGGCACGTGCAGCAAAGGACTCCCTGCATCCTTCTTGGTAACACCCAGACTTTTTTGCCACCAAGACAAGTTGCATAAGGACAGTCCTGCTCTTCCAAGTGGAGTAATTCCACTTGTAGTGCTGGGCAAACTGGAACCATGGTGGTCCAGGCTGGCTGCATCCCAAACTGGAAATCTGCATGGTGCTGCCATAGAAAAATCAGCAGGTCTTAGAATCCCAGCATGACTTAGAATCACATCTCTAGCCTTACAATCCCAGAATGGTTTGGGTTGCAAGGGGACTTCAAAGATCATCCATCTCCCCTGCCTTGCCATGGGCAGGGACACCCTCCACTAGATCAGGTTGCTCAGAGCTCCATCCAACCTGATTTCAGCCCTGTTGGACACACACCTGACTCTCTTCTAATCTTCTTTCCCACCTCTTAAAAAAAAAAAAAAGGACAAGAATAAAAGTAGGAAACATCCAAATCCCAGTTTGCTGCTTCCTGGT